ACCCAGGGGACCGAGTATGGATTAAGGAGGTACAGATAGTCTAAAAATAGGAAAAATAAAAATAGACCAACAGACTCTCGAGGTGTCTAGGAATACCTGGCCAAGGGGGACATAAAGTACGCTTAGATGCGTAATAAAAAAAAATAAAAAAAAAAAAAAAAAAAAAGAAAAAGAGTTTGAAGATAAATTAGAACGATTAGGCAATCGAAAAGTTCACTCAATTCAAGATGAAGCAGTTATAAAAAAACTTTTTCTTGCTCAGCATGCTTTTGAGGAGAAATTTAGAAGGGATGAAATATCCGGAGTAACTATTGGAATGGTTGATGAGAAAGAAGTTATCATTGTTCATTTAAATTTACCAAATGGGTCATTACTACACTTTGATTTGCCATCTTTATTTGAGGGTTTTCCTGTGATTATTGACTACGGGTTGGTCGAACCGTTTAATCAAAATTATCATGAAAGACTTATGCCTGGTATTAGCATTGGACAATTAAAAAATCTGCCAAATGCATGTACATTAGGCATATTAGCTGAAACAAAATCAATACCTGGTGGTGTTTTTATTCTTACTACAAAACATGGGCTTGGGAAAAAAGGCACACCAGTAGTCCAACCAGGAAAATTAGATCATGTAAGTATTTAATGTATGCTTGGCTTTTCTGAGATTTACTTTGTTGATGTCTCCCTTTTTGATAAAGATTTCTTCTAAGGGTTGTGCCACAGTTACAAAGTATAGTTCCTTGAGTACTGATGTAGATGGACGCCTTCTTGATTATGCTTTTTGCAGAATTAGCAATAATAATAGAGTTTCCTGTAATTCCAAATAACATATACAGAACTCAAGCAATTGTTAACAGTTTCAAGACATCTATAAGCAATGATCCAAATAACGTAATAGATGTTAAAAAGGTTGGTAGGAGTACGTTTTATACCAAAGGGAAAATGGTTGATGTATGGAAAGAGATTACATCTTCAGTTTTCGATCCTCCAAGAAAAGTTTATGCTTTATATGTAGCTGGAAATAATGGAGCATTTGGTAAGTCAATAGTAGAGAAGGATCAGATACCAGCTAATATCATAGTGTGGGGATAGAAAAAATTTCAGGTCTAAATATACATATATCAATCAGAATGACTAAATTTCTTGAGTGGGAAGGGAGTGAGAGCTTTATATTAAATTGATCTCGGCTAATATCTGGCATGTCTGATAATATTTTACAACTAATATCATTTACTATTAATTTATAATATAGGTGCACCAGGAGATTCGGGTTCTCCAGTTTTTGATAATAGTAATAAGTTAGTAGGAATTCTTCATGGAGGGTTTAATGACGGAAGTGCCTATGTAATTCCGATTCATTTAATTTTTGAACATTGTAAAAAAAATAGTGCACAATTCGAATTATTGTAATTGAAGATACGTATAATTCTATTTTTATAAATACATTAGTAGATAGTTTGCAACATAAAAAAAATATTATATAAGATTTTTGACAACCAGTGCAAATTCTCCAGAATCACCTATTTCAGCAGATTTAATAAAAATGAATGTTTATTTTCATCCCAATTCTATAAAACTAATAATTCCCAAGATTATATATTCCCTTAACATGTCAATCTCGACAGATTTTTAATAATAAATTAATGCCTTATGTTATCTTTTTCAATCCACTTACTAAAACGATAACAACTCGCAAGAACGTTTTAAACTAATGAATCGATTTGATCATTCGAGCACAAATTGACTATTATTCGGGTTTTTTTTCTTTCTGGCCAAAATTGATCTATTGTATAAAGAGTTGATCTCAAACTTTTGCCTTTTGATCTTTATTATACAGATTACATAATCCATTAACAACCTATTAACTTCTATACACAATTGGCAAAAATTTACGGTATGAGTAATGCCATTCGATAAAATGAAATTTTCCTGGCACTTCTTTAATTTGTATATTTATAAAATTTTCCTAACCTTCTTTATTAACCATTTTGATCAAAAAAAACTGCCTCACAAAATATCGAAGTTAGTAACTATTCATGGCTTATTTTAATTACTTAGTTTAATTAATGTTCTTTATACCCACTAACTAGACTAAAGTGTAGATATTCATGAATCCGAATAGCTTATTTTAACTTTACTTATTTGAATAAATGTTCTTCATGCTCACCTAAATTAATGCAAATAAAATGAAATTAAATAGTAAATATTCATTAACTTAAATAGCTTACTTTAATTACTTAATTTAATAAATGTTTTTCTAAATTAATACAAATAATATAAAATTAAATAATAAATATTTATGAACTTGAATCGCTTTTTTAAATATTTGGATTACAAATGCTTTTTATGTTTACCTAAATTAACATGAATATTTTAAATGCTTCAATTAATAGATATGTTTGTACTTATCCCTGATAAAGTAAAGTCAATAAAACTAGCTTTATTAATATTTAAATGAAGTAATATATTATAGAATTTTATACATTATTGATAATTAAACAGAACAAATTATGGACAAAATAAAAATAAGTATTATAGTTATTTACCTAGGTCATGCTACACGAAGGCCTATGCGTGCATTAAACTTTGGTGGATTTAGAACTAATAATAAAATGGCAACATTTTTCAGAACTGGAGTCTTTCTTGTTAAGTGCTTAAATTTCAAATAAAATTTTTACAATAATACTTTACTGAATATTTAAATTTACATTAATTTTTTTAAATAGCATATTTTATAAATATGAGAAGATATAAACTCCAATTTAATAATATATAAAGAGCAATCTCTGCATTTTACTATTTTTTGTTGTAATTATGTATTTTTTCCAATTTAGTAATAAATTATAAGAAAAAAGTATTATTAATAAGGTCAGATAGAGGAGCATGAACCAGGAATAGTGATTTTTTATATTTTACAGAAAACTACAGAATTTTTTAAACATAGTCAACTACAAAAATTACTTTTAGTCACCACAAAATGTTACAGAATTTTACAAAATATGCAAAATACCACAGAATTTCAAAATATTGTAGATGTTGACCAATAAATTTAGGTTAGATAATTAATAGTAAACAAGAGAAGATATTGATAAGCCTACTTGACAAACCAATTAGAAAAATCAAGATAAATAGATTATTAGAATATGTTATGTTTAAAGAACCCATTGTAACTTCTTATACAGAACCATTATGAACTTTCCAAATTTGAATTTGTTATATTTAGAGTCAACTGTATACAGTCAATCGTTCTATAACGAACTGACATTCCGGAAGAAAAACAGTTCGTTATAGGAAATTACTATGTTTCCTTAAGAACCCATGCCACTTTTTATGCCGAACTATTATGAAATTCAAATATTGTGTTTGTTATATCCAGAGTTCGTTATAGGAAGGTTCGTTATATCCAGAGCTGACTGTATAAAATATATATGTATTTATTTATTTATATATTTATTTGTCTGTTTTTCTGAATTATCATTTGGCAATCATCTGTGATTATCCAGCGATTATCCGAACCCAATGGCTGAGTGCGTAACCTAAATTAATTATTATGCCTACTTTTTAGATATTAGATTTTTTTTTGTCGAATTTTTATTGGGCAGATAAATTAATAATCATCGATCTTCAAAGGCTGTAATGAAAGAATCGTAGCAAAAAGAATTCAATACATAATCAATATTTAATTTCTGTAATTGTAGCCCATCATACAAAAATCAAGTTTCGTACTTCATGATGCAAAGCTCAATGCGTCATTTCAGCTCAAAGAATATAGTTTGGTAAAATTTGAACTTGTAAATTATTAGCCATTTATAATAAAATCTTGAAAATCTTCTGCAGTAGCATTTAAAATCACCTATTATTTAATTACGGCGACTTTTATAACTATTCAATCAACTTAGGATATATAATAAATCAACATGTAAGCGTTTAACAAAACATATTCAAATTTGCGCAGTCAAAAATTTTACTTTAAATAACACGTAAAACGCATCCATTTTGAGTAATTGCTCATGAGTCAGGTTAAAATTTATAACTCTACCCTAACTCTATTATAATTCTAACCCTGACCAACTCAATTACATCCGACCTTATGATTTGATTATGATGTGTCACAACATCCCTGAATAAATTAAACTCAAAGTTTACCTTTGATACCAGTATTTGACCTTATCTAAATCACTTCTTATTCCAATTCCATTTCTGCAGACTTTTGATAATAAATGGATGCCTTATGTTCATCCTTTTCAACCCCAATTCCGTTTTCATAAAAATATCCAACATTATATGTTGCATCAGCATTCCCCATCTCAGCAGATTTTTGGTAATAAAAGAATGCCTTATGTTCATCCTTTTCAACTCCAATTCCGTTTTCATAACAATATCCAGCATCATATGTTGCATCCGCATTCCCCATCTCAGCAGATTTTTGGTAATAAAAGAATGCCTTATGTTCATCCTTTTCAATTCCAATTCTATTTTGATAGCAGTATCCAACATTATATGTACCAAGGGCATTACCCATATCGGCAGATTTGTGATAATATAAGAATGCCAAATATTCATTTTTTTCTACTCCAATTCCATTTTGATAACAACGTCCAACTTTATTTGCTCCACTAGCATACCCCATCTCTGTCGATTTTTGATAATAAACGAATGCCTTACGTTCATCCTTTTCACATCCACTTCCACTTTCGTAAGAACGTCCGACATTGTACGCTCCAGCAGCATGCCCCATCTCAGCAGATTTTTGATAATTGATGAATGCCTTATTCATATCCATTTCAACTCCATCCCCTTTTTTATAACAACATCCAACATTATATGTTCCCATGATATTTCCCATCTCAGCAGATTTTTGATAATAAATGAATGCCATATGTTTATCCTTTTCAACTCCAATTCCATGACTATAACAATATCCAACATTAGACATTCCACTAGCATCCCCCATCTCTGCCGATTTTTGATAATAAATGAATGCCTTACATTCATCCTTTTCAATCCATTTCCCATGTCGATAACAATGACCAAGAATTATTTGGGCCATAGGATTTATTTGATTTTCTAAGCACCATTTAATTACATTATCTGGATTTTGGTCCGTTTTTGCTAAAAATTGATCAAATATGTTAAATATTTGTTCTAAACTTTTGGCCTTCATTCTTTCTTCATTATATAAATTATATAATTCTTTAACAATTTCACTAAAAATATTCAATGTATCATTATTTTCTAAATATAATTGATTAATATTAGATGGACTGTCGGTCTGTTTTAGATTATTTGCCATTTTTAAAGCAATAACGATAAGCCAATTTAATCATTAAATGCAAGTACATCACTATTTAGAGTTTGGCTGTACAACTTATTATAGGTACGTACGTACAGAAGTTGATGTTACGTACGTACGTACGTTACTTTGTTATACCGTACAAATCATTGTTTTACCTCGAGCACGAACCATACTTTTCTGGCAATTCTTGTAAATCAAAAATTTTTTCAAAAAATTGTAAAAATGGGCTGTTTTAATACGTAACGTCCCAAATAAACTAAGTATAGAATTTAAGGGTAGAACATTTGCAATACAGGCTATAACAATAAATAATCACTCATTATACGTAAAATTTCGTTTCCATCGTTTTTAATTAGTGCAACAAGGTCAATTTTGACATTAGTTTTTAATATCTGTAGTCGATAAAATTTTTATAAACTTAGTCAATAACTTTGATTAAACTTAGTTAACTTAGTCGACTATTATCATATGCAGCATATCAAATAAGCACTTACAGCTGTTCTTATTAATTCTGAAACAATTGGCTTAAATATGCAAGTGATTCTTTATATTTGTTAACTAGCAAATAGTCGGCTTCGCCACTTGTTAGATTAGAGTATTGTCAGAGGGGAATGAGATTTCTGGAATTCAAAGGTATGATTTTTGAATTTTTTTTTCAAGAAATGGTGTATTACATGTAATTAGATCGGTGGGCGAATTTGATCATACTAAGATTATTAAATTAACTAGCAATGTCATATTTGCGGGCGACTTCGTCGCCCGCTTGTAGTTTTGAATCACATTGTTTAAAGAGTGAATA